TCTCTCTCTATCTCTCAATATATATTTGGCATCCCTTTCCTCATAGGATACGGTTTCGTTGACTTTGAATCTCCGATCGCCGCCGAAAATGCCGTCAAAAACCTGCAGACTCAAGGAGTTCAGGCACAGATGGCTAAGGTATGTGTGCCCACTACCAGGCCCTTCGTTGTTGTTATGATAATTAAAGCATTTTTTTTGTATTTTTATTTATGAGTTCCTTCTTTTTGACAGTTATTTCTAAGTTTAGTTTTTATAATAAGTTTGATATGAATTGTGTATATTTTTTATTGTGTGGTGTTTTTCTGTGCGATTGATATTTTTTTTATTGTGTTGATGAGTGATATGTTTTTTAGTTATATAAATAATTTTTTTGATTAATATTTATTATTAGGAAATGTTTTTTATTTTATTGATTTTTCCGATGTTTAGTTATGATGTTTTTTATGAGTTGTAATTATATATTATATAATTTTTGTTTGAAGTGTATTTATGATATTTTTATTTAATTTATGATTTTCTCGAAACTTTACTTTATTTTTTTGTTTTGTTTTGTTTAATAGTCGCATGAAATCTATATGTGATTTGAAGTGTGATTTTTGTGTTAAATTGTGTTTGAAATTGATTTTGATTAGTGTTTGTGTGCGAGTTTTTTGTGTACGAAAAACAGATACCTTGCTTATTTTTATATAATTTACGTTTTTACCATCATATTTATTTAAATATATATATATCCAATAATGTTTAAAAACTTTTTTATGTCTCTAATTATTTTCTCTTCAAATTTTTTTTTGTCCATATATTTTCCGCTATATTTATGCTCTGCTCTACAAAAAAACAAACAAAAAAATATTACAAAACAAAATACTACTTCTCCATCTGAAATTGATAATGTCCTGAAAACCTCGTCTAAAAACTTACACTGATAACAGTGCACTGACACCAATCGGAACAAAATCTCTTCCCCGCAAACAAACAAATTGGTGAGGATTTAGGCTTAAGACACAAATCTATATATTGTTTTGCTTTCTCTCTCTGTATTGAGATTATGGTTGCCATTCATGTTAATGATAATGACTTTGTGATTGGCAATTATTATCAACAAAATTATTTATTGTAAAATTTTTGTTATAGTCAAACATGATATCAAACACCACTTCATACTGTATTTACTTTTTTTTCTATCCATCCATTTCCATCACTATATCCATCCGTTTATTAACTTTATTTTTATGATATTTTTTAGTGATTTTTATTAATATATTCGCTATTTTTCTTAAACTTTATTGTTTATTAAATTAGATTTTTTTCTATTATAAGTAACTTTTTTATTAGATTTTTATGGATATTAAGTTTTTTCTCTCATTTTTTCGATAGTCTTTTGCTTTTGTAGACAAAAAGTCTTTTTGTTTTTAATTTAATTTATTACTTAACTCTCTATTATCTGAAAACTTTTATCAGTTTTTAATATTTTTCGTCTAATTTTATTGTTTTTTGTATGTATTTTTCACTCAATCGCATGCCTTTCCCTTCCCCACCACCACCGCCACCCCCTTCCCACTGTTTTTAATAGTTTTAGATATAATTAATTTTTAAGAAATTAAATTTTTTATACAAATATTTTGTCTCATGTTTACGTATTGTTTGAAAAGTTGTTTGACTCCCAAAAAACGCGAGTGAATACATGGCAATGGAAAACGTATCGAAAAAGTTTTTTAATATAATTTACTAGTTTTGCGATAAGTTTTACGGCAATTCTGTCGAGAATTAAATTTTTCCACTTTTATGTGTTTAATACAGTAATTCTCAGCTGAGAAATACGGGACAAGAATTTTAAATTGAGTTTTTGGTTTTGGTTTTAGTTTTTTAATATTATGACATTTGACTGTAGGCTTTTTTTATGTTTGAATTTTTAGGTTTAATATATTATATAATATTATAAGATTAAAACCATTTGATAGTTGTCGAGAGAGGTATGGTATGGTAGTGTTCAGTACAGTATACTTATTAATACGATTATATTAATTGATTTTTAAACGACACAACCAATGATTGTTTGAAATTGTTTGTTAAGAGTCGAGTGAATACTATTAGGCATATGTTTGCGAGAAATTATTTAATACATACACGCCTTTGTAAATGTATTAATTGTTTTTAAAAAGCGAAAGTTATATTGTTTTAAATCGTTTTTCATTGCACACACACCACTCGTTGGTCACGATTTTTCATTCATTACTTAACATTGAATTTTTTATATAATAATTATATATTTTTTTATTTAATTATTAATATTTAGTATATATTATAATATATAAAAAATATTTTCGTTTTGTTTGCTTTTATTGTATAATAATTTTTTATATATTCATATATGGGTTTAGCAAATATAAGCACATTATATACGATGAGATATATAGCACTCTATTTAGTTGATAATTGTAGTGATTGTATGATAACATAAAAACAAAACATAATATAAAATAACTATATTTACAAATTGGTGTCAATATCAAATGGCTAATATATACTTATGCTACCTGTGCTCCCGGTGCCGTCAATAGCAACAAGAACAGGACCCCACGAATCTATACATCGCAAACCTGCCGCCATACATGACAGAGACGGAACTGGAGTCCATGCTGGCCCCCTATGGCACCGTCATCTCCACCAGAATCCTGCGCGACGCTAATATGCAGCCCCGGGGGGTCGGATTCGCCCGGTATGTCACCCATACGTGTCTTATATCTATGTCTTAATGTCTCGCAGTATTTATGAGTGTCTTATATGTGACATAACTGTCTCCTTATTTTCAATTCAATTCTGTGTGTGTTTCTCGCTATCAGAATCCAGAATCTCGTAGACTTCTCACAATCTCTCTCTCTCTCTCTCTCTCTCTGTCGTCTAATAATTTATTCTCACGTTTTTTTCTCTCTCTCTCTCTTACTTTCTATACACTCTTTAAATCCCATTTCTTTTTCTTTCCGATTTTCTTATAAATTACTTTTTGCTTCCAATAAATCGCTTACACATTTTTCACTCTCGAGTTTTGTCTTTTATATATATTATATAATATTATAAATTCTGTATATATTGGGCGAACACAACACACAAATGTATTGATTTTTATTTATATACTACACGCCGTGTATTATGCATATCTATATATAAATAGCCTTTAATTACATTTGCATTGATTTTGTCATTTTATTTAAATTCTTCGCTCAATATATTCCTGTTTTATTCAAAATAGCGATCGCTTTAATCGATTTCGTGAAATAACGGTATATATACTGTATATATATGAGAGAGAAAATTGTATATATATTTTGTGTTAGCATTTTTTTGTAGTTGTATTTATATTAATAACAATATCACACACACACACCAGTGTTATTGACAATGGGATATGAATACTAAAAATTTTTATGTAAATTTCTTTTTTACTCAATTTAATTATTCGTGTTTATAATGAATAGGGGATTACTCTGAGAAGTTAAGTGAACACTAGTTTCCCTATAGCGAGGGGTTTAGTTTATTTATTGGCGAATGTCTAGTCTTTTAATTAATTTTTCTCCTTTTTTCTCGTGAATATCTATCTCTTCGAGGATTTTTTATATCTTATGTCTGATTAATAGAAATGTTCGCAAAAACTGATTACCAGTTCCTTATCTCTCTGGCGATTTGCTGTGCGCTTATATGTGGGCTATATTTCTGGCGCTAATCTGAGGCCCGGAATCTTATTTGTTATTCCTATCCATTCTTCGCCTAATTCTTGTCTCGATTTTCACGGTTTCTCTGCTCACTCCCTAACTCATACTCATCTCTCCTATAAGTCTCTCTCTCTCTCTCTCTCTCAGCGCCGACACATAATTCTCATTCTCGACGACCGATAGATAACTCACTTAATGCTTAACTGTTTTTCTGTTCACACATTTATATTGCATTTTATTGCTCTTTATTTTATTGAATTAAACACTTTTGTAATTAAATGTCTTTTTGTCACTCACTTCGATCTCTCTCTCCAACTCTCTCTCTCTCTCTCTCCCCTTCACTTCCTTTGTTTTACCAAATTTTATCACTTAATTAAATGTTTAAATGTATTTGTATTTTATATAAATATATTGAACGCGATTCTGGTGTTGATTCTTGTGATTTCGTACGGAAGTATCGCTTTGTAATCCTATCTATTTCTAAGTCTCTCTCTCTCTCTCTCTCTCACTCACTCTCTCTCTGCGCTATTTCCTCATTGTTTTACAATTAATGAAATGTTTTGTAAAATTTTTTAAAATATTGATTTCATTGTATGATTTGCACGTTTAGTATGGAAAGCAAAGAGAAATGCGAGTCAATCATCACTATATTCAATGGGAAACTCCTTCCGAGTTGTAAAGAGGCTCTACTCGTGAAGTTCGCCGACGGGGGCAACAAAAAGAAGACCCAATTCAAAGGCCAGGACTCGCGCTGGAGGGACGGCGAGCCCCTACCCATCGCCTACGACTCGTCCGCACTGAGTCAGAACGGTGTGACCGCGCAGATGATACCGTCGGCGGCGATGGGCGCCTATCAGCGCCAGTACTCGACGCCCGTGTCGGCGGCCTACCCGACGGCCCTACAGACGAACCCATGGATGCACCCGCAGGCGGCCACCCAATACATAGTGCAGCCACACATGGCGCAGATGATACCCTCGGGCCTGGACCCCAATACGCTGCACTTCAGCACATTGATGCCTCAGCTGACCGCCCAGATGTCGCAGATACAGCTGTCGGGCGTGTCGGGCGCCTCCTACGTGACGGGCAGCCCGCACGGGTACGGCACGCAAGCCCTCTACCCGACGCAGCTGATCCAGACGGTCCCGATGGGCGGTGACGACCCCTCCAATCCCAACCATTCGGTGAGCAGCGGGTCGGCCTCCGGCGAGGATCAGCACTCGTTTCAAATGTACAATCAGTCGAAATGATGGCTCCGGTAGGCGGTGAGCAGCGCCCCACTGAGGGCCCTCTCACTACCATACGCCCGCCCGCCCCC